CACCAAACCAGAAAAAGGATATTGGCCAAGCACGCTGGTAACTTCTGACTCAGCGTGTCCTGTGGGCCCCTTAGACATTCATGTCTGAGTTAGTTCCAGAGTTTGCAATGAAAAGTCATGGCTGTTGGAGAGTTTCCTTAGCTCAACTCGGTACAGAACTTCAGAAAATAGCAGTTTTATCCGAGGTTTTTGTTCTGGGCTGAATAAAATGCAGGAAAAGGAGAGGACCTCCCCCCCACACACACACCACATCACACACACACACAATCCTAGCATTTAACTCTTGAACCTATGAAAACATCTTCATTATTGCCTTCTGGCACTGGTTCTTGTGCCTCCAGAGTCCCCAGCTCATAACCACCAGGGTCAAGGCTCCCTTATATCCCACTTATCCTTCTTGGAGTTCTGTTTCTTTGCATGTTAAATAAGAGCACAGATAAATCAGTAAAATAGCTGCCCATCACTGAACTCTGTTAGGGCCCAGGACAGTGCCTGGGCCTTACTCTCCTTGAACACCTGGGCTAGTTTAGACTGCTCAATTTGCAAATAGCACAGAACTACCCATGTTCACTGACTGGAAATGAGACTTGCTGGCTCTGTGCCAGCAGACAGTGGCACCGGCCCCTCTTGCCTCTGCACAGCTGCTGCTCCTATTCCATCACTGGTCACTGGAGTTCAGCAGTCAGCCAGCTACCTTGGGGGAATCCCGTAGTCAGGAAAATATGACTTCCTAGCTTGTTAGCAGAGCAAGACTGTGTCCCCACAGTACAGCCCACTGTCTTTCCTTCTGTCTTAACACTGTAGTTAACCCCTCTTTATCTTTTCACCTTTCATTTATAGTTTTGAAAACCCAGTGTAAAATATTAAGGGTATTTAAACTATAGCTTGTGGTTTTTCTTCTAGTACAAATTTTCCCAGAAGTTTTCCCCAGGGCTGTGTCCTCTAGTGACTTCACTCTCCATTAAGTGCCCTGGAGACTAGTTTAGGGAATCCTATATGATGGGCTCTGGACTGGCTGATGGATGGGCCAGGGGTATGTGCATCTATTTCATTCTGTGACATTGAGTACTTAGCTCATCACTGGAGCTGCTGACTGTGCTACAGTGGGTAAGCCCAGCCCAAGATGGCTGCCCTTGTGGAATCTAGTGAGGAAGAGACACCCAAATCAAATACCTTCACAAGTAACTGCAGGACCTCGTCCTGGGGGGGTTTCTATCAGGAAAGCACCCAGTGTCACAAGAGCCCCTACAAGACAGAACTGTAGAGTCCTAGAGAGTTTTCTTGAAGAAATGACGTTGAACTGGGTCAGAGGTAAGGAGGGAAGAAAGTGTCTGTGAGTTTCCTGTGGTTGTAGTTACTGTGCATGCGCCAGTGTGCTCTCAAGAAGCACTCGCTATTCTCTGAAGGCAGAAGTCAGGAAGCTGACGTCAAGGTGCAGGCGCTGGGTGCCTTGGCCTCTGGCCTTTCCTCCTTCCTCCAGGCCAGCATGAGGTATATTGCTCAGTGCTTACTGGTCTGCCGCTGCTGTGTCCCATCTCCTCTGACTCCCCTTGTAAGGACACATGTAATGGCATTTACAGGCTACCTGGATAATCCTTAGCTTAATTTATAGATTCTAGGATTAGGATCAGGATACCTCTGGGGGCTTCTGTGCAGCCCACCACATGCCCAGAGCGTATGAAGACCACCAAGACAATCCAAGTGCAGCATGTCTGCAAATCAGGACAGGGGCTGGAGCCAGGAGTGGACCTGGCCATGGGAGCTGGCAGGACAGGGGTTCCATCTCAAGGTTTTGAGCTGTACTTGAAGTACTTAGTGGAAGATTTTAAGTAAGGCAAGAATTTGATCAGTTTTGGATTTTAAAGTTGGATCTCAGTTTTATGTGAATAGATTGGGTGCTGGGGCTGGGGTTAGAAGCTTTGGCAGAGTACTGAGGAAATAAATGGCACCTAGACCTGTGCCCCAGGTAGGAGGCAGCAGTTGGAAGTTCCTGAGTTGCTTGCCAGGAACCTGGAGGTTGGATGATAAGACGTTTCATTTTGAGACCAGGTGCCCATGTGTCTGGAAGACTTCTCTGGATGCCTTTGTCTAAGAAACTACTGTCTGTCTCTGACTAGAGGTACCCCTAAGCATGATGTGGCATGCATGCCGGAACTAAAGGTGAACAAAACCCCAGTGGCACAGACAGAGCTTTTCAAACATAGTGTAGTGATTTCCATCAACTAAGCTGGATAGTTGGCATTTGCATAAAATCTAGATTTGCACTAGCAAGGGCACATCGAAAAATCAAAGGTGAGCTCGGTGTGGTGGCATACACCTATAATCCCATCAACTTGGGAGGCTGGGACAGGAAGATTGTGATTTCAATGCCAGCCTCAGCAACTCAGGGAGACCCTGTCTCAAAATATAAAAAAGGGCTAGGATGTGGCTCTCGGTTTAAGTGTCCCTAGGTTCAATCCCCAGTATGAAAACAAGGAAAAAAAGCAAAGGTGAACTGTCTTGAGTGACCATTTTCTCCATCACCTCCTAAGGCACCCAGGAGAAGGACAGTGGCCAGGCCCCCCACCATGGGTGATCATAGCTTCTAGCTGGCCCTGGTAAATAAATGCAGAGGCTGGCTCAGGTTACTGAGGCAGGGTCCAGGCAGCTGCGCATACTGTTCCTCACTATGTCCAATGCTCATGACTGCTCACTCGGGCTTGGTGGAGGGACTTGCTATACCTCTTGAGGGGCGCAAGGCTCTAGGCTGGTGCACATCTGGCACTAGCCAGTGTCCTGGGTTGGAATGACTGATCTCTTTTTCTGTGACCAGACATGTGACAGAATCAAACAGTCGGCCAGCGGGACCAAGCGTCGAGTGTTCATCATAGAGACCATGGGGGGCTACTGTGGCTACCTGGCCAACATGGGGGGCCTCGCAGCTGGAGCTGATGCTGCCTACATTTTTGAAGAGCCATTTGACATCAGAGATCTACAGGTATGTAAAAGGGTCAGGCCCCCATGAGCACTGTTTAGTTCACAATCCATGTGGTACCGCTGAGTTCATAATCATATTTGTCACTGATTGCGTTTTTAGGGGATGGAGATGGTATTGTAAAATATCCCAAGCTGTATGCCCTTCAGTCATTGCCTTGTTTTATTCAGATTCTGTGACTTTAGTATTAGGAGCTCTTTTGATGGGTGAATAGACAGGGTCAAGGACACCTTTTATTCCTGTGTGTGAAAACAGGCTTGTACAGAGATTTCATCTCTGTATGTCTCATGTGTGTCATAAGTCACTGAAAGGTGATACTTGTTTAACTGGATCCAATATGTTGAGCAGGCCTATTATGTATGACCTCAGTCCCAGGCCTCTGGAATCTTTGTGGATCCAAGGGTGGGGAGTTTGTGGTAGCTGGAGAGTGGTCTTTGCCCTACGGTGCTGGGGATGTACCCGTTGATGGACCTACATTGCACATCATGGCACCCAGTCCTGATTGACACAAGGACTCACTGGTTGCATTGAGTGGACCTACATTGCATCATGGCACCCAGTCCTGATTGACACAAGGACTCACTCATTGCTGCAGCTCTTTTAAACTCCTAAGATCTGTGATGACTGATGAAGGAGGCCTAAGGCTTCCCATTTCCTTCAGTTCGTTCAGGCCAATGGCTGGTTCAGCCAGTCCGTCCAGGCTCTTCCCTGACTGGCTCTGGCCTGGCCAGAACCAGGCTGCTGGATTGGAGGAAGGACCAGTGGGCATTTGGCAGAGCTGGTGGCAGCCTCAGTACCCGCAGCAGGTGGTCACGGATTGGGTGGGGAGGCAGGAGCAGGCCCATGAGGGCCACAGTGTCTGCTCAGACTGTAGGGCTAGGCCTAGGCATGGACCACTCCACCTTGAAAAAGGATAAGCATGGACAGATGAGACAAGTTGAGCAACTGTTTTTAAGCAAGTTATGTTTCTGAACTAAATCAAGTAATGAGATGTTTGGTGACATGGACATTGCATGAATTTATTGACAATATTGAACTGTTAATACTTGAGGTCTCTCTAAAAGACAGTGCCTTATTGGCACTTATGGCTCCTGGCACATGGTAGATGGTTAAGAAATGTAATTATGACAAATTCAATGACACATTTTTTAGGATGAGTCATTAGGAAATTACTGCCCTTTAGTAATCTTCCTTGCTGGACTGAAATGTTTCTGTACATTCTTTCAAGACCGATTTTTTTTTAAGAGAATTTATGTATGCATGAGCCTATAAAATTTTTCCTTGGTCAGAAAATGTTTCTTAAGCATTTGTATGAGATTTTAAATAAAATCAGGCAACAGGTAGTTATTTTCTGAGAGCTCTAAGAAATACAGTCATGAAAACAGATGAGGAACAATGGATAATTGTATAAACATTAGGCAAATGCACAGAATAAAATAAATAACTGTAAGAGGGAAATCCACTTATTTTGGAGAGCATTTCTTGTGGAAGTTATGATTTCCATTCACTAAATAAATATGCCCAATAACTCAGCCCTGTTGCCACCCTATGTATTATTATCTTGATTATTGTTACTGGTGCATTTATCACTACTATACATATATCACTAATATATTTTTGTCTACTGTAGTCTCCCACAAATAAATAAAATAAATGTAAGCTATAAAAGCATCTGCCATCTCTCTCAATTGCTGTTTTATTCTAGCACTTAGGATCTTATAGTAGGTGCTTAATAATTTGATTGTCTGATGAACAAAATACTCTTTCTAGTCCAACGTGGAACACCTGACAGAGAAAATGAAGACCTCCATCCAGAGGGGTCTTGTGCTCAGGTAATGAAACAGTATTTCTAATCTTACTTCCTTTTTAGACCTAGGTTCTTAGAATCTATCTTGTGATCTGAAACCTAAGGTGCACTCATTACTCCTTTGCCACTCTGATTCTCACTATAAATGCTGAAGGAACACAGAAATATGGCAGTTGCATGCTGTTAAAAATATACTTGCATTTAAATAATGGGTGATTTTCTGGCAAGGCTGATATTCACTTGCCCTCACTTAAACCATAGTTTTGTTGAGTAGAGCATTATTCTGAGCCAGTGTTAAAAAAATAAAGCAATGAAGGGCAATTTTCAAATTTAATTTTGCTCTCGTCTTTTTCTTTTCCCCATGATATCTCCCAATCATATCTTTCTTTAAGCCCCTTGACCTTTATGAAGAAAGGGGAAAATACCTAGTCCGGTAGGGATGAAGGACCAAGCGGCCCACCTGACAGGTGGCTGTGCATCCTGGGCTGCTCGGGTAGATCGCTTCCTGGGAGACCCCTGCTTGCCTTTGCCTGGTGAATAACCTCAGCTGTTTCTGTTCATGGCAGGAATGAGAGCTGCAGTGAGAACTACACCACGGACTTCATTTACCAGCTCTACTCGGAGGAAGGCAAAGGGGTGTTTGACTGCAGGAAAAACGTGCTGGGCCACATGCAGCAGGTAGGGCTAGAGGCCCAGGTCACACCGAGGCCTCTGTGCTCCTCAAGACGAAGGAGAGCTGTCTTCCAACTGATGCCTCATTATGCCCATTTTTGGAAAAATGTGTATTCAGAAGTAAATTCTAGGGTGACTAGAAACAGCGGCTGAATTATTCCATCTTAAAAGTCTCATTAGCTTTAGAATTTGTTCTCGTTTATAATTATTACAGTGTATGGAGATTTTAAGAAATTCTCACCTTTCATGTAAATAGTGACATTGGTTCATTTGGAAATAGTATACAAATTAAAAAATATATATATATATATTTTGGTGTCTGTAATTGAATCCAGGGTCACTTAACCAGTGAGCCACATCCCCAGCCCTTTTAATTTTTATCTAAGTTGCTGAGGTTATCTTTGAACTTACAACCCTCCTGCCTCAGCCTTCCAACCCACTGGGATTACAGACATGTGCCACCATGCCTAGCAAGTATTTTCTTAAATATAGGGTTTAATAAGATTTAAAGTAGAATATTGGACCAATGATACTTGATATTTATAAAAAAATCAGAATGAATTGGAAAAGAACTGTAGGGTAAGCTTTAATTTTACAATTTCTGAGTGTGCCCCCAAATAACAACTGGAGCTCAGCTGGGAAGTACGTAGTCCCAGGTTTCCCAGTTTGAAGGTCTCTGCTGTTGGCATCATTACCTCCTATTCCTTGTATTTTAGAGAACTTTTAAAGTAGGGTCCACTGATTTATTTCAAAAGGTTCATGAGTCCTTAAATCATATGATGAAATAGGCAAGTGTGTATTTGGGGGGGAAAAACAAAAATCCACAGTTTATCAGATTCTTAAAGGAAACTGACATCTCTCCTTACCCCAAAATAAGTTCAAGAAACCCTGATGTGAGACTCTGCAATACTGAGGGGACTCGGGGACTCGTCGGTGATGGTCCAGTTGATTAGAATCCTGCCCTGTGAGAAGGAAGGCTTGCCAACTAGGTGAGCCATCAGAGTTTGGGTTTGTGACCCAACCAAATCCAACAAGACAGAAACAGGCCAAACCATGCCATATTTGCAGGTTCACATCTCTTAAAAATGTGAATCTTGTTCAACTACAGAAACTGTCATTTCTGCTTGCTTTGTAACTAATAACTTAATCACAAACAGGGTGGAGTACCTTCTCCATTTGATAGAAACTTTGGAACCAAAATCTCTGCCAGAGCCATGCAATGGATCACCACTAAGCTGAAAGAGTCCTATGGCAAAGGTAGGAGGTCATGGGAAGGTCATGCTTTTTGTTTAGTTTTTGCTAGTCTTAGCATTGCTATATGACTTGCAAGATTAAAATAAATATAAATCCTATTAATAAAATAAAATACTTTACTCCTGCTTTTAGTGGTGGATGACATTCCAGTAATTTAGTAGCTTTATATCTATTAGGCAGAAACTGCTGCACATATGTTAGACTTTTAACAAGACTGTAAAATGGGCTTGTTTTATCGATGAGAATCACTTTGAATTAGCTTTTACTTAAGGTACTTAGGACTTACTAATTGCTTCATTCACAACTTTTAAGAGCACAGAATCCCACAACAGAAGACAGGTGGTATCCACATCATGTTTCTCCTTCAGAACCCAAGTGTGTCCTTCAGTATTTTAGAATTTTTGTGATGACCTGTGCTCGTGCAAATCCATCATCTCTGCTGCTCCAGGCCAGCTGACCATTCTGGTCCTGGCACTTGAGTATCCCACACAGTATGGTAGTGCCCAGGTCCCTGGGAACTGGCTCAATTGTATGCCTGGTTTCTGCTGGACTGTAAGGTCTTCAAATTAGTTTACCAGTCCCATGCTCACCTGCAGGCATGCAGTGTCCTGTCACTGCCATCTGGCTTACATCTGATACCCTGACCTTTATTTGGTGTTTCACTGTGGCTTGGAGAAGTGGACTCAACAGGTAAAGAGGAAAATGGCAGGTTGCATGACATTCTTGTTTCTCTGTTTTGCCTATTTTTCTGTTGGCTAGTTGCTAAGAGTCCAACATGTACACAGCATTTTCTGGTTAATAGAGGCAAAGCTACTATATTATTGGAATATCACCCACCTTTCCCTTTATGGCTTTTCTGTTACTAGAATGTTCTTTTATTTGTAATTTATTTTAATCTGCTTAATGTGAAGCTTAAGATCTGAGTTTATTTTTTCCTGTGTGGTATGGGTAATCAGTTATTTGGGTGCCATTTATGGATTAAAAATCTCATTTTTTCCCCACTTTATAATCATAGGCCAGGTAGTAACTTAAACCTTTATTTTTCATTTTTTTTTTTTTTTTTTTTTTTAATCTATCATAGGTGGACACAATATCTTTATTTTTATGTGGTGCTGAGGATCGAACCCAGTGCCTCTTGCATGCTAGGTGAGCATACCTCTGAGCCACAACCCCAGCCCACTAAGCCTTTTTTTTAATATAATATTTTCTTTTTTTTTGTAGATAGACACGATACCTTTTTATTTATTTTTATGTGGTGCTGAGGACAAACCCAGTGCTTCCCACATGTTAGGCAAGCACTGTGCCCCTAAGCTACAATCCCAGCCCAAACCTTTCTTTTTCTTCATAAGACCTCACATATTTTTTGGTATATTTATTCCTAGAGTCTTAATTTTTTTAAAATGTTACAAATGGTACTTAAATATTTTGTGCTGGTATGTAGAAATTAACTTTTCTATGCTCTGAATCCTGATGTAAGAATTTATAAATTCACTTTTACATGTACAATCATATCATCTATATACCGCCCTCATTTTTTGAGACATTTGTGATGTCACCAACTCTCATCCCCAGTCAGCTCTGGCTTCACTGGGTATAGTGACATTCGAGCTCCTGCCCTTCTCAATTGTGATGGGAACCAAGAATGCCTTTAGCATTTCCTAAGAGTTATCATTAGTATTTAACTCAAGTCTTTGTGATTTCATATTTACTATTAGTCTTTGATATATTTTCATTATTTGCTAGGCATTTTTTCAATTATAAAAGGTTATGTTATTTATCGTATTATATATCGTGAGATAATTGTTTTTCATCTGTTAGTGTGACAAATTAAACTGACCAGCCTTAAATTTCAGAATTAACTTGGTCACAATGTTCTTTTTTATTCACTGCTGGATTCAACTTGTAGTTCTTATGTGCAGGCTTTTTGTGTCAGTGATTGTGAACATGTTAGCAATGTCCTCTCTGCTACTGTCCTTGTCAAGGGTTGGGGTCAAGTTTGAAGGAGGAATTCCCTCAAAGTATGTAGAGGATGGGAGTTTTGCTTTGTTTTGCTTTTGAATATTTGGAAGCATCTTCTAGTGAAATCATCCATCAAAATACCCAGTTTTCTTTGTAGAAAGATTTGACAGCTGAATTTCTCTCACATTTATAGAAACACTTGTGTTTTTTTCTTTTTTCTTGAATCATTTTTGTAAATTGCATCTTCTAGGAAACTTTCAATTCATTTAAAATTCTCAAAAAAAAAAAAAAAATTGTCACTGAACTTCCCATAACATTCTTCTTTCAGTGCCTGCAGCACATATTTAGTCTTCATTTAATCCTGAGATGGGCTTTTTGTGCCAATTTTTGTCAATGCCACCCCTGCCCTACAGGTTTCTGGGCCAGTCATCTCAGATGTGTGTTTTTATACAATTTCTAGTCTGGTTTACAAAACCACAGCTTATGTAAAAATGGTGATATAAGCAGTTCCAACCTAATTTTAGTATTGAAGAACTGATGTTGGCTTTAATTCCTTCTACTTTGATAGTTTTTCCAATTTATACTTTGATATATCTTTCTACTTCTTAGATTTCATTTGTGGATACTCCTCTCATTAACTTTCAGTGTCTGCCTTTCTGCAATTTAAGTTCACTTTTCCTTACTCCACTAGTTAGTGAAATATTTATTCATTGTTAAAAACATTCTTTGCATAAATCCCTCCCTCTATCTGTGGTGGCCGCTGTTCTGGTAAGTGGCAGGTGAACAGCCTCTTTCAAGGGAGGGAGGCCTCACCACAACCTAGGCCTTCCTCCTCACTAGTCCTGAAGGGCCTGGAGCAGACTCTGGGAAAGTCTCAAAGGACACTGGCACACTGTGCACTGGCTGTCCCCACTGGATAGACAGCTGATTATCAAATGTAATCCATGGCACACATCAGGATTTCCAAACTTACTGGTCAAAACTGGAATTACCTGCATCCACCCCAAGGTGGCTCTGAGGCATCCAACTCTTACCTCACCTTCACATGACATTTTATCGACATGATGCATTAGTAGTTCCTAATTTCTTTCTTTTTTTTTTTAACTCTCATAGGAAAGAAATGTGTTTCTGACGACTGCATCTGTGTGCTGGGAATAAGCAAAAGAAACGTCCTTTTCCAACCTGTGGCAGATCTAAAGAAGGAAACAGATTTTGAGTAAGTCAATTAAACACTGTACGAGTAAATGTCATAGCTGTTAGCAAGAATGAATAATAGGAGTCATGAGGACAAAGGGACACCACAACCTTATTGATTGTAAGTAACGCATGGCAGTGTTTGAAGGAACACATGGGCTCTTCTAGAGCAAGGTTAAAGAATAGTAGACATTGAGAAACAGGGCAGAACTTT